ACAGAGTTCCAGGACAGCCAGGGCTGTTACACAGAGAAACCCTGTCCCAAAAAATCACAGGTTACTATGCACACATATATTTCCTTGTCAAAAAGATGTAGAAGCAGTGAAATTCCAGTGAGACTGAGAAAATCCAGTGGCCAGGGGTTAGGTGTTGATTAATTCTAGGACTGGAGAAGGAAGTAGACAATGTGAACTTAGAATGTATTATCATGCCAGAATGCAAAGACATGCTTAAAACGAAAATCTATGATGGGGTCATATCAAAGGGACACAGGAGCTCATAGAATAAAAAGCTCCCAGTAACTTGACAATGCAAACCATTGCAGCAACACAATAAGTAGTGTTCATATCTGTGAATCCAAATGACTAAAGACATTAGTACATGGGATCGGATGGATTTCAGAAGTCATTTATTTCTATAGAACAAATCGGAATCAGTTATGTAAGCACTCTGTCCTCAAGGTAGGATATGTTTTTACTCCCTAAGGGTGGGACTTCTAGTAAGTACTGGGGTCAGAGGAATAGTTTTAGAGTGGAGACACTGGACAAATCTTACCTTTGACAGATGAACTAGTGAGGAGTTGATACATGAACTTGGTATGATATGATGAGGGGGACACTTTACCTTGGCTGTCTTTCTCTCCCACCCCAACATAAAATCACAGACTAATAACATCAGACAAATCCCAATAGCAAAACACCAAAGAATGTCTATGAAGCTGTCACAGCCAAGAGAAGCCAGGACACGATATCTGAATGTAAGATGGTCCTGTGGACAGATTTCTGAAACGAAAATCAGATGCTAGGCAAAACCCAATAATTCTGAATAAAGTATGGACTTTAGTTGCTATCTTGCACTAATATTGATTGTACCAAATATCCTAAGTTAATGTGTTAGTAACAAGAGAAACGGATTATAGGGCACATGAGAATATGTATTATCTTTCCAAGTTTTCTGAAAGTGTGAAAATGTTCTAATAGTCAGCCTACCTTCCTATCCATGCCCCAGAAAAGGTAATATACCTAGTAACTATCCTCTCACTCAGCTTATGTACTTCTTCCCAGAAGTCCTTTCGTCCCTTCCATCCTTGCAAATCTTCCATTATGTAGAACTGAGGCCTACAGTTTTTTTCTGAGTCAGAAAAGCATAACTTTCTAGTTTTGTTTGTTTTTTGAAACAGGGTTGGGCTGGAGAGATGGCTCAGCTGTTAAAGGCTAGGCTTACAACAAAAAATATAAGAGACAGGGTTTCAGCCCTGGCTGTCCTGGAACTCAGGCTGGCTTTCAACTCACAGAGATCCCCCTGCTTCTGCCTCCTGAGTGCTGGGATTAAAGGCATGTGTCACTACCATCTGGCAGTTTTGCCTTTCTCTTATTTTCTGTCTCTTCCTTTTGGGTACTAGCCAAAAGCCCCGGGCAAGCTTGCCAGACGCTCTGGGCTTCCTCACTATTTCTTCATGAAGCCTCCTCCCCTTCTGCCTGGCAGCTGCTTGTCAGTCCTGTGGCTGCTGGCTGACCTTCACTACTGAAGCAGCCTGCTTTCTTTAAACACTGCCCCTCTTCCAGGCAGCTTGCCTGACCCTTTGTTTTTCTCTTAAACACTAATAACATTGTCATCAACTGTCAAAAAAAGTACAAAGAACCAATTTTCTTTTAGAAAAGTACCACTTATTAAAGACAGACTAAAGGGTCACTAATCAGTGCTAATCTGAAAACCTTGGAGAAGCAGCTATAAAAGCTATCTGAGAGAAGTGTGGAGAAATTTGGATATAAAATGGTTCGTTCTTGCTTAGTTATGACAGTGGCATTGTGATCGCACTGGAGAATGTTCTCACTCTTGTAGGAGAGGCACACTGGCATGTTTAGGAATATCATGAAGTGTGAGGATAAATGTCTACAACTTGGCTGAAATGATTAAGGGAGGAGGGAAAAACACATGGGAGAAATAAACAACAGTGGCAAGAACATTAGGAATGATGGCTCTCTCTAAACGGCACATCCCCAGGCTCATCACACGGTCCTTCCACATTTCACAAGCTTCCAAATTCCAAAAGTAAATACAGGAAAAATATTTTAGATAGGGGCAAAATGTTAACAAGAGGTTCTCTGGAAAAATAAACATGTAAGGATAATTAGGAAAAATCCTCCAAAGGAAGAGTGAAGTTTGCACTAGGAAGCCAAATAGGAGAATGTGGAGCTGAAGACACAGACTAGCGCAG